CGGTGCCGACCTGCTGAGCCGCGCGGCGGCGCAGGGCCAGGCGCGGGAGGTGCGGGCGCTGCTGGCCTCGGGGGTGCGGCCCAACGGGCGCAACCGCTTCGGGCGCACAGCGCTCCAGGTGGGTGCGGGAGCCGCGGGAGGACCGGGCTCGCGGAGGAGTCGGCGCCCGGCGGGGCAGGGCTGGAGGCCCGATGCTGGGGCAGGGGAGACGTTCTCCGAGGGAGCTTGAGGCCGGGGACCTCCTGGGGAGATGCCCTGGACCGTTCAGAAGCCTGGCTGGGACGATGGGGGGCATTTGGGGAGGCGAATCTCGGGAGTGGTGTAAGATCTGGAAAGGGGAGCTGGGTCTTGCGTCGGAAAATGGAGGCAGAGACGTTCTTTATCAGAATCGGAGAACTTGAGAGATAAAATGAGAGGCTTTCGTGGATCAAGGAAACTCAGACTAGCTAGCTCGCCTGCTACTCCGAGGACGTTAATGGAAATCTCCTGCCTGGGAGTTTGGACTGAGCAGCCCCGGCCGTCTAGACCTTGAGCTTCAAACCACAAGGTCAGCCTTTGTAACCCCTCACACGTTCCGAGGGAGACAGATGAGGCTGTCTGCGCCTTCTCTAGCCTTCTCGGGAAGCCCCAGAGGTCCCACCCTGCCACTCTAGGGTCGCTGGGAGTCGTGGGTTTTTTGAGCCCGAATCCTGTCTTGGATAGTGATGGTTTGGGGGGGTGTTGGAATAAATACCGATATTATTCAAGTAACAGGTCGTGTGTGTGTGTGTGTGTGTGTGTGTGTGTATGTTTAATTTTAACGGAGTGGGGGAAGTGTATGCTGGTTGTAAAAAAGAACTTCAGACATTCGTATCCATGCGAGGAAGGCAAAATTCACACTTTCTTTCAATCTCGTTTGAGATATTGTTTCCAAAGTAGTTGAGAGTATTTCCTATTATTTTTGCTATGTTAACTTATTGATATACATCATTTATTTGGGACGGAGGTTTACTTTTTTTTTTAAGTTTCAAATTCTTAACTGTGGAAAAAAGTTTGATTTCTCTCCTCCCCCTGGTTGGGTGTGAGAGGGAAGGAAGGAGGAGGGTGGGGAACAGTACCGGAAAGCTAAGGGGAGGCCAGAGTCTCCCATGTGCTCTGTCTTCATTAACTTCCTAAATATTACATGAAGATACCCAATTCTTTCTAGCAGTCACTAACCTAATTAGATTCTGGTGGCAACAATAAGTTTTGGATCTAAAGAGCAAAAGTATAGGAAACAAATGCAGTTTGCCAAAACTCCATAACACAAAAGAAAGGATCCCTACACCAAACTTCACAAGGAATCTTCATTTTGTGAACCTATGCTTCCAAGACTATATTGTGTGCACTTTAACATTCAAATAGAAAATTAAAATGCTCTCAAACGAAATTTTGAGGACTTGAAGTGGGAAGACATTTTGAAATTTGAGAGGCGAGGTGCTTGCAAAAGAGAAGTAACTGAGCTTGCTAACAAATATTCATAATGCGTGTTTCGTAATTTAACAGCCTCAAAATGTTGCCAGCAGCCTGGAGACTTACTTGTTGGCCCTGGAACCCTGGTACATGTTAGGAGCAACTTGATTTGCTTAGAGACAAAAAGAAAAAGAAAGCTAGATAGTTAGTGCTTGACTCCTCTTTAATAGGGAGGTAAGAATATAGAAAAAAGGACAAAATGGCTGTGATTTAGGACTTCAGCCATTGGAAATATGAAATATTTTACATTAAAAACTATACCATTCATTTCTTACAAATAAATTCTTAAACTGGATAAAAGAAAGAAACTCTGCTGGTTAGACAGTGCTGACTCAGAGACATGCCCTGTGTGTTTCAGAGAATGTAACTAACTGCTTACAAGAGTTGTAACTGTTATTTCTCAAGAACAAAAAAATGTTTAAAATTGGGAATGGCAACTGGGGGAAGGAGGGGAAAAATGAGCAAATACCAGGGGCTCAAGTAGAAAGCAAATGTTCTAAGAATGATGAGGGAAACAAATGTACAAAGGTGCTTGACACAATGGATGTATATGTGATAAGAGTTCTACAAGCCCCCAATAAAATGATTTTTAAAAATTGGAATGGCAAAAAAAAAAAAGAAAAACAAGGCATCCTTCCATGGACTAACTCAAGAATTTAACATTGGCTTAACCTACAAAATCTATTGAGGATTTTATCACATTAATCTATCCAAGAAATAATCACCATCTCCATAGATATTTGAGAAGCATTCATTGAAAATCAACACATTGCTTAATGACAGAAGTAGCTTTATAAATCACTGAGGAACGGCTATGTTATTCAATAAACAGTGCTCAGAAAAATAACCCTACATATTGAGGGGGGGTAGAAATATGAATTTCTAGCTCACATCATATTCCAAAACAAATTCCAGATGGACTAAACGCTTAATATGTAAAATAAGATGTGGAAATTTTGAAAGGGAATATCATATAGTCTTGTATAACTTACAGGTAGAAAATAATTTCCTTAATAGTGGGGGGGGGGTTTAACTTATAAATGTGATTACTAGGGGGAAAGGACTATTGACAAACAATAAATTCAATGATGATTGAAAGAAAGGTTCTGCATATGTAGCTCTTAAAGAATTGTTATGGGGAGGGGGGAGCAGGGAGGCAGGAGGAGGGGAAAAAGGAAAATGAGGAGTTAATTCCAGGAACCCAAGAGGAAAGTGAATTTTGAGAATGATGAGGGCAACAAACGTATAAGTGTGCTTTACACAATTAAAAAAATTTTTTTTTTGCTTTACACAATTGATGTATGTATGGATTGTGATAAGAGTTGTATGAGCCCCAATAAAATGATTTTTTAAAAAGAATTGTTATGCCATGATTTTAAAATTATGTAAATCAATTTTAAAATCAACAATTAGGCAAAAATATGAACAAGTTACAGAAGAAATATAAATACCTAACAGGTTATCAAGATATAGCCACTCGATTGGATCTATCACATTAAAAAATAAAATATTGGCAATTTCATGTGATAATATGGTAGAAATAGAAGCTTTTATAAATGATGGAGATAGCTATTATTACAATCACTTTGAAAGTTATCTGTTAATATCTAGTTAAGCTAAAAATGTGCATATCTTATGAGGTACGGATTCCAATTGTAATGCTATTCTTTGGAGAAACTAGGCCACAGGAGTGCAAAGAGAATTTATGAGGATGTTCATTGGAAGTTCATTTGTAATTGCCAAAAATTTAGATACCACCTAAATGACTCTCCATAAGGAAATGTATATGTCAGTTGTTACTTAATAATTGGATTCTTTATTGCAGCAGGGAACATGAATGAGCTAGATTTATATGAATCAGCATATAAAATCACAAAAAATGTTGAATTAAGTAAAGAATGTTCCAAACTAATTCTTAAAATGCAATAGCATTTGTGTACATAGTTCAGCCACAAAACAGTAGTATACATTGCGTGAAACTGCATACATAATATGGTAAAAACATGAAAACAGAGGAGATACATTTCAATTTCAGGATAGTAGTTACTCTGGAAACAGGGAAGATTAGTATTCTTTGCTTATTTCTTTAGTTTGCTCCCTCCCCCACCCCCATTTAAAGCACTGTGTAGTAAAGAGTACATAATATTGACATTTTTATAAAATGAAAAAAGTATGTATATGGTTTGCATACTATTCATGCTCTTTTTCTGTATAGTTGAACTAGTTCACAAACTAAATACTTACAGGACATTATAGTAAATATCAAGCTAGTGGTTGGTTCCAAGGGGCCCCTGAGGATTGAGCAGGTGGCTCTGTCTGCCTGTATGTGCTGGTGGTCTTCCAGAAACAACATCCTAATGCTATGATATGAAGAATGAGAAAGAGCCACTTGGGAGAGAGGTGAGAAAATAGTATGTGAAAGCTATATAAGAAGGTATTTTTGGAAAACTGGGAGTCGTCTTGAGTAGTTAACATTAACTATAATTATAACTTTTCTACTGTAAGTAGAAAAGAGTACAGGGTTAGCTTCTGTAGACTATTGTTTGAAGAGTTAACCACTCATAGAAAGCTCTTGCTTCTAATTAGGTGGCCTTTTCTCCTAATACAGTGGTTCTCAACCTTCCTAATGCCGGGACCCTTTAATACAGTTCCTCATGTGGTGGTGACCCCCCAGCCATAAAAGTATTCTCGTTCCTACTGTATAACTAATTTTGCTGCTATTATGAATCATAATGTAAATATCTGATATGCAGGATGTGTTTTCATTGTTACAAATTGAACATAATTAAAGCATAGTGATTAATCACAAAACAATATGTAACTATATCTTGTGAAATATTTATTTCTAATTACAAATAAGTGAAATTTTGTCTTGAAGCAAAACACCGTATCTGCATGTGGATGGACCCGCTTGGAAATGGAGAGAGGAGCTGGAAAT